ATCCTTCGCAGATAACCTTGCTTGGGGAGCGTCGGCACACCTGCTCCGCAACACAAGGCCACGGGAAGGCTTGACGCCTCCAGTCTTTTAATCTTCAACAAGGGACCTTGCAAGGTAGACATGCAGCAGACACTCCTGCTCCTGGCGACGTCGATGACGCTGCTGTCCTTGGTGTTCATGGCCCACATGGTTTTGAACGATTCCTTCGAAAGGAGGCCACGGCCCGTCGTCTTAAAGAATGCCGTTGAAAACCCGACGTTCACGGAAAGCTGTTATGACTACAAGAATTTCACCGCAGAGAACGTTTGCTGCAGAATGAATAAATACATAGCAAGCGATGTACTTCAATGTGTCAAGAGATACAACGATAACCAAATCTTACATAGCGGGTGAGTGTAATTTTATTATAATCATTATTACCGTTAATAGTAATAATGGTAGTAGTAGTCTCATTATCACACCATCAGTGTTCATTTCATTATCATTGTAATTATAATTATCACCATTAATATTATTATTTGTTTCATAATTATCATTGGTGCTATCATTATTTGTATCTTATTTATCAGTATTACCATTATTATTGTTGCTATTATAATTTTCGTTATGATTATCGCCACTACTGTTATCATTATCATGATTATAATTGTCTACACTAGCATCGCAATTATCTTTGTCGTCATTATTAATTAAAGATCCATTCTACTGTTGTTTTTTGTTTTTTGTTTTTTTTTACTATTTAACTTTAGGTTGCCTGAAATAGCTAGTTTCTTTCTGTCCAGCACTGAGCCGTTTTGCCCTTTATATCAAGAGGAATTTGAAAATGTTAACTTTTTTTCTTTCTTTTACAAGGAGACAAAAGGGTGACCATGGCTTAATTTTGTATGGTTAATCCAATTTTCCAGTTACATTTTCTACCTGAGGCTATGTTGATGTCCCTTTCAGCACATTTTTCTTCAGGTCATACAGGGTCAAAGACACACAAACACAATAACGTGTACACAAAGGTGAATAGGATAACAACTCCAATTGGAAATAAAATAAAATCGTAACGTCTCGAACTCGTCAAGAGGTCCTCATGAGACGGATAAATAACCAAAATTGATCCACATCGGTTATTTATCTGTCTGATGAGGAACACATGACGAGGTAGAAACATTACGAATTAACTTCACTTCCTATTGTGGCTGTATTCCTATGCACGAGTAATACATAAGCTTATTTGTCTAGTCACATCGGTGTTTGTGGTACGACGACCTTGGCTAGTTGTGGCAATGTTAGTCTTGTCAAGTGTATTAAATCTGAATTATATGGTGGCTTTCGGCGGAGATCCTGTAGGTTCGACCTCATCGGCACTACGGCCAGGGTGTGTGTGTTGGGAGGGAGGGGGTCCACTCCGAGGGAGAACCTGCTCCTTCGTGCACTCATGTAGTTTCTGATGCTTTGGTTTTTTTGGTGTGTGTTGTACTCCCGCTCCTAGCCATCGTCGTTGCAGAGCACATCCTATTCTTTATGCCCTGAAGATGCAATATGGCGAAAATGCCTTCGACATAGTGGTGTGTTTTCATGTTCTTCCCTTCAGTGTTATGTTTACAGTTTTCTCTCTCTCATCTTTCCTGATCCATTTGTTGGACAAATGTATTTTGTCCTTTTCATTTGTGTATTATCTAATGGCCTTATTATGTATAAATAGATATCTGTACCGCAAATTGAAATAAATCAGAGATTTCTTTTTCTTTAAGTTAATAACATTTATTCCAATGGAGCTTTCCGAGTATTTCCGGTGTATTTTTCTGTCCATATTACTCTTCCCCGTTAATAAAGGTTTTTCTCCACATACTGTTTGGCGAACCTGAGGAGACGCTAGCGATGTCGTTTGTCCAACCTTTCTGCGATTTATCCCATCTGTACGTAGTCGTTTTCTTCACCGTGCGACCTGTTACCAGAAGCTGTAGGTCTTCATGAACTCTCGTGCATTGGTGAACGAGGGCAGTCGTTATGGGTGCCATCCTCCTTCCACCTTATCTACCTGTATACCAGGTAGATTATCAGCTCTCTGAATATATCAGTTAGAATTAATTACTTTCCCTTATCCCATCGTAGCGGCCTCTGTGATTTCAACAAGCCTTGCGTCCCTTTTGAAAAGGTGTCAGCTTGGCAACCTCGTTTTCAGTTGGGATTTCCAATGTCATCATTGACGTCTTAGACCATCGCCCATTTTTTCTTTTTCATTTAGCATACGTTAGGATTAATCGAGAAAGATATGTAGGAATTGATGAATATTCATTGGCATAGAAAATATGAAATATACGATTTCGTGTTATTATTATTATTATTATTTATTTTTTTTATTATTATTATTATCTTTTAGATCCTCTTTCTGTAAACTACTCAAGTTCAGGGTGAACAAATAAGCATTTCGTACACCAGGAAATTATTACTTCTATGATAATGTATAAAAAATCATGATGTAAAGGTTTAACATACTACGTTCATTTAT